AAGTCATACAAAATTAAAATTAAAAAAACAATCAAACAAAAAATACAATAAAATCATGAATGAAAAGGAGCAGAAAGAATATAAACTTATATCTGCCCGTTCACTAACAAATAAAATCGATTCCAAACCAGTCCACTGTCAGCATACAGAAAAAAAAGAACAAAAGAACCCTTGAACACAAAAATACAAACAGAACATCACCTTAATCAGTAATATAACACTTCTACATAATAAGTTTCAAGTTGTTTTAAACACAAATAAAGATTTAAACTGTTTCACCTCACTATCAGACCATTCCACAACCTAACAGCCTTAACTGAAATACATCTTTCATCAGCACAGTTCTGAAGTTATGTTTTTAAAGATCTCAATACCTTTTAAATTATATTCACTTTCCCTTTTAATAAATCTGACCTGAATATTATTTGGTAACTTTATTTTATGTGCTCTTTACGTAAATTTTAAAAACTTGTGATCTGTTAGCATTTAGTGTGTTAGCACTTAGTAGTAGTAGTTCTTTATTCATTTCATTTGGAACACAGATCAACAAAGTACAAAAACATACAATCAAAATAAAATCAGATAAAATGAAAGGCAGCAGAAGAATAAATCTTATATCTGTCCCCTTTTTTATACCCAAAATATGTTCAAAAGAAAAGTAAAAATACAACAAACATCAAAACAACTTGAAACATGTAAAAATGAAATAAAAATAAGAAGACATCAATTCAAACAACAATTAGCATGAATTCACTTATAATTCTCCATATTTCTTCAGAATACTAGTTTTTATCATTCTCTTTAATATATACAAGGATCTGTCATTTTTAACCTCATCTTCCAGGCTGTTCCATAATCTTAATCCCTGGATTAAAGTGATTGYTCCTTCAGGCTCGTACCAAACCCAAGGTTTCATAAACTTTTTTATTCCTTTAAGATAATAACAGCTCTCTCTTTTAACAAAATTTACCTGAATGTTGGAAGGTAACACACCTTTATGAGCTCTGTACATTAACAGTAAAATATTATAATCAACCAAATCATAGAATTTTAATAATTGTATTCACAACAGAAAAACCAACTAGAACTAAACAGAAAATGACAAAAAAACAAACAAACAAACAAACACAAACAAACCACAATAAATCGAAACTTTTGTGGGGCACAACTGTACATAAAACAAAACAATAATAATAATAATAATAATAATAATATATATAAAGAACACTTAGCTACAAATGCACAAAACATTAGCTGTAAATTTTACAAAGTTAAATCAGTTTTGCTGTTGGCGAATGTTGATAATACGGCGGCCATCTTGAAATGGTTTCCATGCAGATTAAAATGTTTTTTAGAGACTTTGGTTGTGTCTAAATTCAGGGACCGAGTCCTTTTGAAGGACCTGGTCTAGGTGGGCCAGAATTTGGATGGTCTAGCCTTCAGCTCTAATCCTGCCCAGTGTATGTCCTGTCACACTAAACTTCTGCCAACTTATAAAGCATTTTTATGTCTAAATTGCTAATAAAAGATATATTTGATAGGGCTGTGAAATTAATCAAGTTAACTCTGATTAATTTTAGTGCTGCATGGGCACAGATTAAACAGCTACATTGGGATTAATTAGATTAAAAATATTAATAATTTGACAGCTCTAATATTTGATCAGTTTGTTAGTTACATTATGTACACAAAACAGAAGCTTCCTGTTGATTTTTTCAGTTCCATCTTTAATGTAACGTCTTTAAAATGTTCATAAGTAGTCTGGTGTGACAGGGCCTGTAACTGTGAMGATGCTGAACAGGAGAAGGAAAATCAGCTAAATATTATTTTAATTATATTATAAATTAACAAAATTTAGGGGAAAGACTTGAAGGAGCAACATGACTAAAACTGAATAACACAACCGATTTAAAAAGGTTTTTATTTAAAACTGTACTCCTGTCTCAGTCTCATTAAAGGGATCCATGATTAGTTGTAACTTTACTTTATTTGATAAACATTTATTTTAACTGTAAAATAAAGACTGTAAAAACACTGTAGGATGTTTAGTTTCGTAAATTTTTTAAAATATATTTCAACACGGACGGGGCCATTTTGTTTCCACACAAAGCATTCTGGGTAAATGATGACGTGGATAGGTCCTCGGTGCGAGGCTGCTAGCGAGCTATATCCACCCTGAAGGTTAATCTTGGACAATATCTGATGATCGACTCTTTTAAATGAAACCAGAGAGCGTTGACAGAGAGGAGAAGGTAGAAATGACTCAGCCTGGAACTGAAAATATGTCCAAGATTAACCTTCAGGGTGGATATAGCTCGCTAGCAGCCTCGCACCGAGGACCTATCCACGTCATCATTTACCCAGAATGCTTTGTGTGGAAATAAAAATGGCCCCGTCCGTATTGAAATATATTTTAAAAAATTTACAAAACTAAACATCCTACAGTATTTTTACTGTCTTTATTTTACAGTTAAAATAAATGTTTATC